TGTGTGTGTGTGTGTGTGTGTATCTGTTTCAAGAGAAGTACTCTGTAACTTGTTCATTTTGGATGAAATCCTGTACTTGCTGAGCAATCCTAAACATGTTTACTTTGAAGTGAGTCCCAATAAGTTCCATAGCCTATTTAGATATTCATGCATTGACGTTAATGTATTACTGGTATTAGTATTAGTAGACTATCTGTCTAGATGGGCGGGGTATAAATCTAATAAAATAAATAAAATAAATAAATATTAGAATGGCACTCCATAGCTACTGTGATTAGAATGGGTCACAAAGAAACACTTTTTCAGGGTATGACAACATAAGAAGCATCCAACAGCAGCCAATATGTTAAACCCTACTGGATGAGTATGTCTTTCTTTGGGTCGGAGCCAAACAAGAACTTTGGTGACAGGCAGAGAAAGATTCAAACACATAATCTGAGCAGCTGAAAAAGTGGTAGATTGATAGTATATAAATGCAAGGTTGCTATAAGTACAAAAGGCCAAAATTAGAGGGAAAGTGGATATTGCTTATGTGAACTGAGTTTGGGCTGCCATAAGCTGAAATATTAGGAAGTGCTCTCCTCTTGGGCTCTTTTGTTTGAGAAGAAAGGTGTCTGTTGACTTCTCAGATAGGACAATCTAAGAGTGCATAAGGAATTAATTAATTCCTTTAGATAGAAAGCCCGCTCTATCCAAAGAGTAGAGAGTGACTAACAATAATCAGAGACAAAAGATGGATCTCTGTGTCCTTAAGACTCATGTTCTGCAAAAATTTGTAACAAGAGTTTTCTTGTGAACATGTCAGGATGCATAATACATTTGGGGCTAACTGCTCCTGCAATATACACAGCCTGCTTGAATGAGTCACCTAGTTGAATGTCAGCAGACAGTTGGATAAGGACTGTTTTCAAGAGATAGGCTTAAGATAGGCTCCTTTTTGTTTAAATCTGTGCTTCCCTTCTAGCGCCATTGTCCAGTTTAGAACAAAGAACCTCTTTGTGGTCAATGTAGGTAGCTGCATGTTGTCTCTGGATACCTGATGGCTTAATCACAAAGCGTGTATACATGGCAGTGTGATATCACCACATGCACCAGTGATAGTCCCCCCCCCCCACTTAGAGGCTACCATTTTACAGCAATCTAACAAAATGTCCTAATTTATTTATTTCTTGTATGCAGGTGTGATGGCTGGGTTCAATATGAGTGGTGATCTTAAGAAGCCTGCTTCAAATATTCCTCTAGGATCCCTGTCTGCCATAGGCATTTCGTAAGTCCTTTGAAAAAGGGTGGGTGGGGCTGACCTAGTAAGTTCTTATGTGTTATCTCCTAGTGCTGATAAATCCATTTCATATTCCAATTGTCCCCTTATTATCTGGCAAATCATGGCAGTTGTTTAAATAATCATAGCAAAGAAACAAAGCACTTGACATTCTTCCCTTTTCTTTCACTTTATTGCTCTAGTATGGAAGGATATATTAGGATTCCAGAAAGGACTGATGGAAATCTTACAAAGGACAACAAAAACAACATGACACCCACCTTCCCCCTCTAGTGGGGGAAAAACACCCTGATGAAGAGGACTATAAAATGAACAGGCTGAGGACTTTACATGTGGCAATTGAAGCAGGCTGGATTAGGCTAAATGGGTTTGCTAGGAGGTCCCGGCATGCCATTTGATGCAATCCTGGCATCCAAATGGCATACTGACCTCAAACGGCCCTGTTTGGTCCACAGCAGCCTTATGTTAGTTTGCCAATATTGTGAAATGGTTTAAGAAGAGAGTCATTTCGCAATATTGGCACATTAAATACTTCCACAGCCAATGGTCAAAGAAGTGAATCTTCTTCCTATATTATGCTACCCCCTCCCCATTTTTGAGTGTGTATTTCGCAGGGTCACAACTAAGGCGAAGCAAATGGGGCTCTGCCCCAAGGTTTCAAATTTAGAGGATGCGCCCTTCCTCCAGACTTCCAAAATTGGCCCGGCAGCGTAGTGTACAATTATAAGAAAAGAGCGGTAGCCTAGGCAACCAATCAATCAGGGCGCTGGGAGTGGAGAGCAGAGGAAAGGTGAGGCACTGGAAGTTAGCACTATCTATGGCTCAGTAGACTAGTTATCTGGTCCAGTCACGGGTTGAATGTTTTCCTCTTCCTCCTTCCTCTCTTTCAGTTGTGCTTCCAGTAGCACAACACTCAGCCCACTGAAGTTTGTTCACTGAGGCCCACCAACCTAGGTCAGCATTCCAGAGATAAAGTTGGGGAACTTTATTCGGTGATCATTTAGTAAGTTATCACAGGATCCAAGCCTTCAGGGCTGAATCCATAGCAGGAGACTAGCTGGACCAGCTAGTATGCTCACATCACGTAGATCAGGGGAGCAGATTCAGAGGACCCATTTTGGCCTCCTGGATTGCATTGCAAGCTGAACCTTCTCTGATCACTGCATGCTGCCAGATTCAGCAGCAGCAACCAGAGCTGTGGTTTCTTCCACTCCTAGTTTAAAAGGAAAAGAAAAAGAAAAAGCGTGGCCACCACATGCTAGAGGGCATGCATCCTTCCTGAAGTGTGATTGCTTCCTAACATTGTGAAAACATTCTCCTTAATTCTCTGCTGATCATTGGTCTTAAATGAGCCTCATCAGGTTAATATTAATTTTTCTGTGTTTGCAGGTGGTTTCTGTATATAGTCTTTGTTTTTTTGCTGGGAGCCATTTGTACTCGAGAATCACTTCGCTATGATTTCATGATAGCAGAAAAGGTAACTAATGAAGTTTATTAAATATTTAAAACAAATTCATTCGGTTCTAAAAGCGAATAATCAAAAAAATCCATGTAGTTTACAGGAAAATGCGAGCTCTCTGTGGGCAGTCCGCTTTTCACCTGCTCACACATAACTGTGTTGTGTTTCCATGTAAATTGATCCCCAAGATTGTGCACTTCTCTGTTCCCCTCATATTATCTGATATCTCTTCCCACCTTTATCTTTTGCTGTTAGATCCAAACCAGGTCAACTATAGCTTATAAAAGCCACAGTTTTCCTGGTTCATACGTGTTGGTAAAACTATGATTTGTCAGTAAATCTAAAGTGAAATGAGAAATGTGATCCTACAGGATGGAGAACATTGCAAATAACATTGCAAATAGTTCTATTGCAAATAACCCTGTGAAGTGGATTATGAATCTATGGGCCAGGGAAAAAAAAGAGTCCTCCCATATAGGGGATGGTCATGTTGTTTGCCTTTGTCCATTTTGATTGCTGTTTCTTCACCTTTCTGAGATCTACAATATCCTTTTTGAGAGAAAGCAACAGGAAGTATGGACAATATTTCATTTATGATCACATCATACATTTGTATACAGTATTACTGTATTGTATAGCATTTCAAAACAGCATCTGAAGTGTGTTTGTGTGTATTGCTTTCCTAGTGCTCCCTAGCACAAAATTTTTCACAGAAGCCACAGACTGGTTGATGTTTTCACTGAACACAATTCAATGATCTCTTTGGCCAGGGATTTGATGTTACCATCATTTCTTGGCAACAGCCCAGTTTAAACAAGGCAGCCTTTATAATCCTTCCTATTAAGGATACACAATGGCCAACCTAGGTATGCTGAGCCTGGTTGGTACTTAAGAACCTCTTTTTGCCCAGAGAGATGCTCCAGGGTGTGTCTTGATAGCTCACCACACAGAGTAGCTATATACAGAGGCACAGAGTCTAAGCTCTAGGGTTGGCACCTCATAACTCCACTTAACAAGAATCAGCATTGGAACAGCTACATGAACTTACTGCAAGCTGTTAAATGCTGGAGATGGTTGGCAGAGCTCTGTCTTGGCACCACAGCATTAGAGTATCAATGCAGCTGTGGTGGGAAAGTAATCTTTCCCACTAGAAATATTGCCTTTTTCGTAGTTGGTCTCTAAAGCAGCGGTCCCCAACCTTGGGCCTCTAGATGTTCTTGGACTATAACTCCCAGAAACCTTCACCACCACCTCTGCTAGCCAGGATTTCTGGGAGTAGAAGTCCAAGAACATCGGGAGGCCCAAGGTTGTGGACCACTGCTCTAAAGCAAAAGGAACTGTTTATACAGAACAGCCCTAGTATAGCACATTTGGTTGCCTGAGGCAGAAGAGAAGATGGCACCTCTCTCCATTCTGTGTACAAAAATGGCTGGACTTGTAGATAAATCTTCTACGCTGACAATGGGACAAGATACTGTCCTGCCTCTGAGAACAGTGCTAAGTCCATTTTTTATCCTTCAGGATCTGCTGCCTGAGATGGCAATGACCACCTCATTCCACCTGTTGTGAGGGCTGGCCCTTATTCAATAGATTATATATGTAATCTTTATATTACATGAGTAGCAGCAATATGTACAGACCGTAGGTAGGGATGGAATATTTGCTTAAAAAGATGAAAACAGCCTCTTTCTTTTGCTTTCAAGTTCCATCATTGGTTTCTGAAAGAAGAGCTTCTTAAACACGAGCAGTTCATTTAGACAAAAGAAAAAAAATGTGTTTTCTCACATTCCCCTCTTACATTAAACTTTCCCCTGCCTGGGATTATTTCCTTGTTCTTTTTTTCCTTTTCCTCTTCTTTCCTTGTCACTACCACTGCCAAGTTCCTTAGGGCTTTTTTGTAGTAGCACTAGAAAGCTGAAAATTCCAGCTCGTTCTAGGACTGCTCTGTTTGGAACTTTGTCCTGCCAGGTGATGCCAAAAATCCGTCGGAGGCAACGCATATGGAAGGTGTTCAGCTTCCTCTCCTGCCGTGCACAAAGAGTCCATGACTCACTGCAGTACAGGAGTGTGCTTAGAACACAGGCTCTATAAACCTGGATCTTCGTATGTGTCGTCAGCTTCTTATTGAGCCATACTCTCTTTGTGAGTCTAGAGAACATGGTGGCTGCTTTGCCAATGCGTTTATCCAGCTCGACATCTAGAGAGAGGGTGTCAGAGATGGTTGAGCCGAGGTACACAAAGTCATGAACAACCTCCAATTCTTGTGTGGAGATGGTAATAGAGGGAGGTGAGTCCACGCCCTGGCACATGACTTGTGTTTTCTTCAGGCTGATTGTTAGTCCAAAGTCCTGGCAGGCCTTGCTGAAACGATTCATGAGTTGTTGGAGGTCTTCAGCAGAGTGGGCAACAATGGCTGCATCATCTGCGAAGAGGAGGTCCCGTATGCATTTCAGTTGGACTTTGGTCCTTGCTCTCAATCTAGAGAGATTAAAGAGCTTTCCATCTGATCTAGTCCGGAGATAGACACCTTCTGTTGCACCTTCATTCCCTATCTGCTTATGCCCTCATGGATCAGCTGTTCCTCTGGTGTGAGTGATTGCGGAACAAAGGAAGGCAATTAGCCTTAGAGAAAATACAAAGGAGTTGACAAGCAGATGTCTGAACCAGCGCAGCCTACAGCCAATGCCCTGAGAACTCTTTTTATTAACCTAGCACGATTACATTGTGAGAATTCAGATAGGATACTAGTTATCTAATCGTAACCAGGATTGGCTGAGGAAACTCTTTGATCTAATGCTGTATCTCTAAGCGAAAGGGCAGAATGAAGAGTTACGCCATCCGCTGGCAGCCGCTGCTCTTGCCAGGAGTGTGTGCACATCACTGGAACAGAATGCAGCTGCAAACTTTAGGCAGAAGTTTTTTACACACAGGGGCATAAGCAGAGAGGGATTTTCCCTTTGGGTGGCTTGCTAAAGTCTTCCTGAAGGGGATTCCAACCCCCCCCCCATTTAAAAGACTGGGGGGATTGCTTTGCTCAGGCTTCCCCTGTCTTTCTAAGCACCTGTGGCATAGACAGGAGAAGCCTGTCCAAAGGAGGTCTCCCCACTGTCTTTGCAAGGAGTGGGGGTGGGGGATCATTTCTTTCAGTTTTCCCCCATCTTTCTATGCCTGGGTGGGCATAGAAAGACAAGGCCAGTGGGACCCAAGCGATCCCCCACCCTTCTGGCTTAGCAGAGACAGTGGGGTTGGAAGATCGCTTCTGTCATGCATCGCCTGACAAGGGAAGTGGGAAGAAGGGGAAGCCAGATCAAAGTGATCCCCCATTGTCTTTGCAAAGAGAATTTAAGGAGTGAATAGTCAGAGTGTTATCTGTATTAGATAAGAAAGAAGAGGTTAAAGGAAAATACTGAAGATTAGTATTTCTTTAAGAATGTGCTTAGTACATGTGTCCGCTGCTATCTGTATCTGAGAGCAGAGCTGAAGCCAATAATCGTTGGAACATCTCCTGGCAGCCTGTTGGACTTTGCTATGAGCAACTTGAAGAGCTTGCAAGTTGTACTCACTAGGACAGGTTTTGTATGCTGCTGGAGCTCTCCTCTTTTCCTCAATGGCTGGCATCAGCTCCTCTGAATGGGCTTCGAACCAGTCTGCCATCTTTTTGGTCTTCTTGCCAAAGGGGGACAAAGTGGTGTTATACACAGCGTTCTTGAAATGTTCCCATTGTTCAGGTGCATTTACATTACCTGGACCTGAAAGGGTTTCCTGAAGTGCTTGGGCAAATTCCTTCACTTTTCTTTGATCGCAAGTCTTGCTGATGTCAATACGTGGTCTTCCTTTTTCGTGTGGTATACTCTCTTTGTACGCAGTTTTACTCTACTACACACCAGGGAGTGATCTCATAATAACAGCAAAACTCCAGCAACTCCAGCAACTTTCCAGCTGTGAAGTCACACCTGGAAGGTTGGGTCTCCCCAGGTTAATTCACTGTAACCCAGTCATACAGGAGAGAGAGGGGGGAGGAAATCACCATCAGCCTGTTAATGGTTCTCCTCCCCACATATGGTGCTTGGGTCTGTTTATTTTCTTCTTCTATTCCTGTTTATTTTCTTCTTCTTTTCTTTTAAAGGCATGTTGTTCTAGCACCAGCCCACCTACGTTATGAACGAGAAGGAATGGGCAGCTAGACAGGAGGAGGTTTGCACTTCAGCAGTGTTTCCAGCTTTCCAGGTAGTTCTGCTCTGCTCTGCCCACCCAGATTTTCAAGAGGCATGGCTAGAGCCGAACTACCTTAAAACTCCCCCTCTCCTTCTCCTCTGTAAGTTCCCCACTTTTTTCCCTTTGATTACCTAGCTGCCCAGTGCTAGGTTAGCAAGCCTGAAAGAAAGAAAGAAAGAAAGAAAGAAAGAAAGAAAGAAAGAAAGAAAGAAAGGGAATGGGAATGGGAATGGGAATGGGAATGGGAATGGGAATGGGAATGGGAATGGGAATGGGGAAGGAAAGGATTCAAATGGCAGACAGTTTTCTTGTTGAACCGCCATTCTCAGTGCTATTCTCACTGGAGTTGATTGGAAATGGCTTCAGATAGAATAGCTACAAATCCTTCCACATTGGCTCAAGTGATCATACTATTTGAATAATTGCAAAGACATTTGATATTTTTAAAAAGCAGAAGCCCCAGTGACAGAGGAAATAAAATACGAATTGGGGTGAAAAGCTCCAGGCTGATTTGCATTGACTTTTATATCATGTAGTCAATGGAAAAATAAAACAAATCCCAGTCCCGGAATATCCCCTGCATTATTTGTCATTGAAGTTGCACCCTTACTGTCAAGTAACTATACATAGGATTGCAATCATGTCCTGTTAACATAATGGGAGAATTTATTAGTCATTGAGTGCATATAGACAGATAGACAAATCCTGGAGATATATTTATGGAGTCACAGTTGTGAGGGCTGCTAGGATGGCCTTCTGAACTTCAGAAGGTACTACTACATCAGTATACTCATCTGCTGGCA